TGCATTTATTTGGACAGTGTTCAAGGTAGCTGGCAAGTAGTCACGAGATGAAATTTTAAGCCTTGAAATTAGTGATATATTAATTACTTTAATTAGTTTACATTTAATTATATATTAAAGTATTCTTACTATTATAAAATAAAACGATTTTATACTCATATTATATTATAAATTTAGACAATAGGTAGAAAGTTTTGAAGTATAGGCCTAGAAATCTAATTTTAGGTCAGTTAATAGGACTAGTTCAAATAGTATATGATTTTTTATAACAATTAGTCCTTTCTACAAACTAATATCATAACTATACAAGTTTGGTATATAACCCTATCACGAAAAGTTTCCAAAAAGATGATCAAATACTTTTTTTACGAAAGATACCATTTGTTGTTTAAGTATCACTTTATTGGATAGATTTAATAAAAGGTACATTTTTGGTTGACAATGCTATGCCATTAATCGGATAACATTGCATTGTAAACAAAATTTATTTTTGAAATATTATTATTTTTGAATGACAAACAAAAAGATACAAAGAAATTATTTTAAGTATTTATAATCAATTAATCACTTTTGCCGACAAAAAAAATTAGATGCGTACATTTTTCAAATTGATGTAAAAAAAACATTTAAAAATTTAGCCCTATTTTAATAAAACCTTTCGGTAATTCAGCAAATTTCACGTTTTTTTTTAGCAGTTCTGAGATGATTGCCATAAATGGCCATTCATCGTTTTACTCAAAAACCACCACCGTCTCTTTTTCACTCCTTTCAGGCTTATGATTTCCCATAAAGGTTGCAGAAATAGTACATAATAACCCTACTGGTATTAAAATCATAAAAGCAGCTCTCAGTGCATTAACGTAAGCAGTTATAACCAGAATCTTCATATCGTCAGGCAAGTCTTGAACTGCATTAGCAGATTGTCTTACAGCCATACTTATATCATATGGTAATGAAAGTTCATTTAAATTACGAATAAGAACATTTTTGAATGTTGTACCGATAATTGTGACACCAAATACGGATCCAACTAAAATGAATAAATATATTAAAAAAAAATAAAATAAAATAAATAAAAAATTATGAAAATCTTATGCTCACCAGTTCTAAAGAAGGTTAAAAGAGAAGTAATAACTGCAACATCTTTATAATCAACAATCTGTTGTCCACAAATCAATGTAGATTGAAGAATAACTTTAAAAATACATATATATATATTAGTAAATAAGCCATGCTCCGGTCATAAAATGATTTTCGAAGTATACTTACTTCCTACTCCTGTACCGGTGATAATCATATAACCAATTTTTTCACCTTTTCCAGTATGTTCGTTCCATAAAGTAAGTAAACCTGATCCAACTGTGATCAATACTCCACCAAATATAGTTATCGTACGATAAGATGCTATATCTGACCGTGACATTAATTGACCAGTTGAAATTGACGCTAATACCACACCAAGAATGTATGGGATTAATTCTAAACCTGACTTGGTAGCTAGTAAATGAAGTTGGAAGCGTATATTAATAGGTGAAAAAAAGAGATAAATGGTTTATCGTGATACTTACCACTATCACCTTTTATAACTTGGAAATAAACTGGAATGTAATAAATCAATCCATAAAATGTCATTCCATGAAAGAAAAGCGCGATTAAGTTTGCAATAACATTTACACTTTTAAACAAGTGTGCTATTTAAAAAAAAAAAAAAAAAAAAGTAAAATAAATACAAGGATAAATGCAAATATTTCTCATAAACTCTGTCTTAAGTATTAATGGGCGTACTTACGAGGCGCAATGGGTTCAACGGAAAATTTAACTTCAACCAAAGCAAATAAAAAACATCCAACAAATCCTACTACTAATAGTACAATAATCACAGGAGAATTCCATGCGTACTCATTTCCTCCTAAACTCAATGGAAATAACAATGCTACAATAGTTAAAATCATAACAATGGTTCCAAGATAATCTATCCGTTTAATTTTTTGTCGTATTGACCCTTCTGGGCGTGGCATACGAAGCAAAATTATTATTACGACAATTGTTAATGCTCCTATTGGAATGTTAATAAAAAATACCCATCTAATCGATAATCGAAAAAAGCATAAAAACTTATAATTAGTGTTTCATGTTAGTAAGTTTAAAAATTGCTAAAAAGTCTATATTTACCTCCAAGTTAAGTGATCTAAATTAATTAGAAAATACCAAAAAGTCAGAAGAAATTTTATTGAGATAATTGTTACTTCACTTTTAACTTATTCACCTGTAAAAACGCCTCCTAGTAATGGACCCACCACTGAAGAAATACCATAAGTACCTCCAACCAATCCTTGATATTTTCCGCGGTCTTGAGGTGGGACGATATCTGATACCATAATCAAAACCAAGGGAATTATACCACCACCTCCAAGTCCAGCTATGGCACGGAAGATAATCAATGAAACCTTGATGCAAGAAAAATGGTTAGACTCAATATCGCGAAGATTAAAAAGAAATTTTTTTAGTTGATTTACCATATTTGAGGCCAGACCACAAAGCAAACTTCCTATTTCGAAAAGGGTAATTGCAAAAAGGAATGTCACTTTTCTGCCAAAAATATCCGAAATTTTTCCATAAGTTGGTTGTAAAGCCGTCTATAAATATGAGGAATTTTTTTTTTTTTTTAATAAAAGAAGATATTTATTAATAGTATCGAAAGAAAATTAACTTACCGTTGTTAATAAATAAGATGTGGCAACCCAAGTAATGTGTTCTAGAGCATTAAAGTCTGAAGAGATTTTTGGTAATGCTGTAGCCACAATAGTTTGATCCAATGTAGCTACGAAAAAACCAAGTGACAAACTAAATAAAAGATACTTTTTTTTAAATTCTGTTTTCTAATGATTTTGGCACAGTTTTATGCAACATACCCAATTATCACCATGATCAATTTAACTTTACTTAATTGCACTTTAATTTGACCATTTTTCTGTGCTTCATCATTTAATGTGTCTTTGGTGTTAACATTTTTTAAAGCATCTGGATCAATTTTTTCGTTCGGATCATTGTTATTAACATCGATACGTGTTGTGGCGTATGAATGATCTAACGTCGCTCGTGCGTCTGATGACATTTTATTTAGCTATGGTTCTTTTGTTAGAATCTTTATTTCTATTTAATAAATAAAAGCATAACCTCCGCTATCAATAATGTTAAATCTGTGAATAATAATTTTTTTTTTTTTTTTTTTTTTTTTTTTTTTTTTTTTTAAAAAAAGGTATTTGTATTTGTTCTCTCGCTTATTAACATTATCCGAATGACATTATAAGACAAAGTGCAAAAATTCATTGCCGTTCGGCTAATCACAAATGCCGCGTGTATTAGAGCGCCTATAATGAATGTTTAAAACTTACCCAATAGGATCAATGAATCTACCACGATTTTCATGATTTATGGAACACAAAATTTTGTTGCCGACTTTGAATTTGCAGATCAATCAAAAAAAAAAAAAAAATACGAGTTTTTTACTTGGCGCTGAAAATAAACAGATTTAATTTGTTTAATTAGACAGTTTGAAACAGGGTTAAAAGAAAGAATGCTCAGTGATTTAAAACATGATAAGCCATCGGATATTAATACATATTTTTTTTTTGATCATCCTTTATTGGTGTGAAAATATTGTGACACGTATTTTTTGTCTATCAATTTTCACATGTTGGAATTAATCCAAAGATTCATGGAAGCCACGATTTCAAATTTTGATAAGAAAAAGTTTATTAAAAAACCTTACGGTATATTTTTTTGCCATATTCTTTACCGAGTTTGCCGAATCTACGAGTGTCACTCAGCATGTGACTAGGTGTCCCGTATATTATAATTTAAAATAATTGAAAAAAAAAAAACCGTTTAAGGAAAAATTTACAAGTTAAATTTTTTGCTAGGGGCGTAGTCATTTCGTTTCATTTTTTCTTATACTTCCGTATGGAAAGAATATTTTATTTTCTTTTTCTTTAAAAACATTTATTAATAACGAGAAAAGTTCGAGATATATTCAAACGGTCCACCAAAGCATTGCTTCATAATATATTATACTAGTCAACGGGACCGTTGTGCGTCCGAAGCGAGCGTCACGCTGTCACGTTCCAATTTTTCGAACTTGACATTTTAATTTTAGTTTAGTGTTACATTTACATTTAATTTGATATAGTGTTACATTTAATGGCACGATGTATAATAAATATGAGAAATTTTTTCGTCATCTTGATCATTTATAGGTGGCTTACTTTAATGCTACGAAATAACCCTAATTCCACGCAACTTATCGGAAATGTTGCGCAGCAGTTGACTGCGTGGCCTTGCGGCCGGCTTTCCTAACAAACCTTTCCTTCAGAACTTCCTAACTCTAACCCTAACCTAATGAACCTAATGCCACAATGACATATCCTAATTCTATGTTCTATGTCACGTCCTAATCCTAATTCTAATGCTACTAATGCTACGCCTTAACCCAAATGCCATGGTTTTACATCTATAGTGACCGACCAACATTTTTTTGCTCTATGCTCCGATTATAATAGTCCCGGTTACACTAATCACGTGTAACATTTCGACCTTTTGCACAGAACGTAAACGTCCTCAGCTTTCGCTTCGGACAATAATTAGATTTTGGAAAAAAAAATATAATAACATAATCAAAAAAAAAACAAAAATCGAAATCAAAAAAAAAAATCTTTGCCCGAAGCAATCGTAAAGAAATTTCTAAAGTAAAATCAACAGTGCGATTGACCCCAAAAATAACTATGGAATGATAAAAAAAAAGAAGACATGCCTATCCTTTCAAAGTGTTCCTATTCAAAAGAGGAATCTTAATTATAAATCAAAAGACTACTGCGACCTGAAACAATCGAACCAATAGTAATAAAAAAAAAAAAGAATTAAAAAAAAGAAACTAAACTGAAATACACATACCAAGTACTCTTGAAGATCAAAACCAAACTATAGTAATTATGTAAAAAATTACCCAATTCTACGCTGCGCTCTGATATCAAAAAAAATCAAGCCTAAAATCAGTTTTTATTTAAATAAAACTGATAGCAGAATTTCAACGTCTAGGCGCAGCGCCAAATTAGTTAATAATTAAATATATAAATTATCCGATTCTTATTTGTTAATCGACATTCGCAATACATTAAAAAAAAAGAAAAAAAATTTCTGATCTATAAAATGTAAAAATATGATTTGTCAAATGTTAAGTCATCATTGCACAACCTTATTAATTCTTTTTTTCTCGTTCGCCTTTTTTTTTTTACTAAAGCTTATAAACCGATTCCTAAAAACAGATTCCGATTCCAAGATTCTAGAGAATTATAACGAATTTCACCATTCTAATAAGTAATACAATTTATTTTATTTTATCCTTTTTTTTCGTTTCTATTATTTTGTTTAGATCTTCAGATTTTAGACGGAGAACTTGGAAAGAGTAGTGCTTCATTATTAGTACTTCATTGTATTAGCTTTTTATTCTTTATTTTTGTGTATCTTGTCTTGGTAGCATTATTTTTAATAAATAAATTGATTTTTCGGGTGTTTTCGATGCTTTAATTTTCAATTAATCGACAAATCACCTGATCAATTATATATTAATGTTCTTGTACAATATTAAATGCATGGCAAGATCAAATGATGAATGATCTACTAATTGATTAATTGATTTTTTTTCCTTTTCTCCCAAGAATTTAAATTCTATACATATTTTAATAAATCAACATGCAAGCTACCAAGAATTATAATGAATGGATTAATTGGATTGAAGCATCTATCTCAAGAAAAAGTATCAATTTAGTAATTTTCAAGAGATTGGTACCGGCAGCTTTGGAATTGTCGCAAAATGGAAAAGTTCAAATCAACACTTCGCGTTAAAATCGTTTCATAACTTTAGCAATGCAACGGTTAAAATATTTATTAATGAGGTAATTACAAAACAAAAGAATGTATTTCTGTTTATTTCGGTCTATTTCTTTTTGTATATCAAGTTAAGCTAAAATTTATATTCTAAAATTTTAATTTGAACTTTAATGGTAAGTTGATTTTTCATAGCAATATCATTCGTTTTTTTTTTTTGGGAATTACATAAATGCAAGGTATGAAATCTTAAATAAACAAACTTTCTGTAGAGATACAGTCGGATAAATTAACCTTTTATAGTTCGGACCAATGATTTTCGGGTAGCACAAATTATTATGTATATCTCGAATTATAAAGTGGTGTAACATTAAATAACTATAAGTATCGTGTGATTTTTCATATCTTCATATTATAACAAAATGAAACTTGAAATTAAAAATAATGAAAGTTCTTTGGACCCAACTCCAAAATTAAAATCCAGTCCTATACCAATTAACTTTATTCCTTTTAACTACGTATGGGAAGAAAAATGTCATTGTGGAAATAAATACGATATGTCACGATTTTCTTTCCAAGTATATTGTAAAAATTGCTTATCAAAGTATATTAGTTGCATAACCGATAATAATTCGTATTTGGATTTACTTATAATTACAAATGATATTTATTGTAATAAACATGAAGCTAGGAATGCGGATTTTTGCACGCAAGACATTCAAGAATGGTGTGAAACTTGCTCCGATGTTTTACATTTCAATCAAGTACATGATAGATTAAATTATCATCATTTAAGTGATTTTTCAGATTTACATTTAAAAATAATTGAAAATAATAAGGATTGTAAATTATGTGGGAAGTTGGTTTATCAGAAGATGCCGAAGAAAACGTTCTTTTCTAATGAAGGTGAAGTTCAGATATGTTCGGATTGCTATAAAATTTCTTCTGGGTGGATAGAATCGACTTTAACTAAAAAGCTTATTCCAATTCTTTATTTACCATGGTGGGATTATAATGGTAAATGTAGAAATTGTCATCAAATACTGGATTTCTTATCTGGTTGCCACAAATGGTGCAAATGTTGCCGTGTAATTTATTCTGGGTGTAGACATTGTTTAACGACAAATATAATTTTTGGGTTTACAAAACAATCTCAATGTAGGAAATGCAAATGGATATCATTTATCGATATTGATACAAATTATATAAGCAGTGGAAATAGTAATGTAGACGAATTAATTAATAACATAAGAGATGATAACAAAATAAACCGATCGCTAATTATATGAAAAATATTACGAAAAATTCTAATCCATTAGATGTCTATGATTTTATTTGCAGTTTATATTATTCAGTAATTGAATGGATTCCACCTTCTCAAATTTCAAATTTAGAAAAAATATCACAAGGAGGATTTGGTATAATTTCCAAAGCAGAATGGTCTGACGGTACACCGAAATATACAAATCGATCATCTGATTATGTATCTCGATCAAATAAAACTGTTGCCATAAAAAAGCTTCGAAATTCAAAAGATATTAGTAAAAATTTCTTAAATGAGGTAATTATTTAGGATTTTCATATTGTCTGAAATGCAAAATTTAGATGCAAATTTTAAACAAATTTACAATTTTATTTTAGTTAAGATCGCATTATGTTTGTTCTTCTGATCATAAAGTTAGCCGTGTTATCAAATATTACGGTATAACAAAGGATCCAAAAACAAATGATTATATGTTAATAATGAATTATGCAACAGGAGGAGATTTAAATAAGTATTTACAAACTAATTTTGCTAAGATAACATGGAATAAAATGAAATTAAAATATTTATGGCAAATTCTAGATGGTATATAATATAATATTAAATTTTTTTATTATTTTTTATTAATTTACGATGCTAATCTATTTTTATAAAAAATTAGGATTGAAACTATTCATAAAAAGGATCTAATACATAGAGATATTCATAGTGGAAACATATTATATTTTGAAGGAAATGAACCAAGTTATCGATGGCAAATTGGAGATTTAGGATTGTCGCAACCTGCGAATAATACGACATCGAATGATGAAATATATGGGGTAATACCTTATATAGCACTTGAAATATTTAACGGCGCTTCATTTTCAAAAGCATCTGATGTTTATAGCATATCTATGATTATGTGGGAACTTACGACTGGTTGTAAACCTTTTGCTAACGTTAAACATGATACTGAACTTATTATT